TGCGTAGCGCCTGGTCGGACACTCGGCCTGAAGCATGTGTGCGCCTTCCGACATTGCTGTTGTGAAGTGAAGCTTTACTCTCGGTAAGTGGGTCACTTTCCGCAACAGCAGTGTTAACGCTTAAGCGTTAGTGAGATGGTTTCGCGGAAATTCTGGGGTCAGTGTCGGCGGCAGAGTCAGGGTCAGTGTCCGTATATTGTGTGCCACATTGTGACATAAGGACTTCCACAATTTTTTTTCGCAGTTTTTTTAAGTGTCTTTCTGTAGCACCTACAACGGGTCCTCTGGTGCAAGAAACCTGGCAAAAGGATTCAGTGCTTTCATGAGGCAATGATGCAGATTTTGTTCCACTTTTTCATGATGCAATTGGACTCATACCACTCATTTTTTCTCTTGTTAACTAAATATCTCATGCTGGTGAAAACACTGGTGCAAGCGAATGCGGCCCGGTTTTGCGCTATCTGTCGCCTCAACATGAAGTAAGCGGTTACAGCACAACACCTTCAGGTGGAGAAGCCTGCTACTGATGTCTGCAGAAATAGCGCACGTGGCCACGCTCTTTCGATGAAAGTTTGCAGTTGAAGAAAGAACGACGCATCTACTGCCTTTCCTCCACCGCCACGTTCTTCCACTGAAGGGGGCTTCTCAAGTGTGCTTGAGCCGCACCCGTATGCAGCATTCGAAAGCTGTCACTCGGACAGAACGTACGACGTGGTGGGAAATTTTATCATTTGGAGCGTTATACAGAACATGACGGCGACGGCAACGACATAAATACGCTTGGAGTGTTCACATAATTTCCATATTGCAACAGCGCAGCTCATTTCGAGCATAAAGAAAAGAGGCAACTCAGCTCGCTATAGCAACACGACCTTATAACGCACCAACTTGCCCCATCTGCACTATGCGTTCAAAGAATTTTTATCGCACTAGGAAATTGTAGCACTGCGCCGGAGCTTGGTGTTCGAGCCAAAGTCACCATGAACAGACGATTGGACGTGGTACTTCGCCGCACGACAGGTGCGACGCCAGGTATAAAATTCGGTCCAGGCAAGTCACCGTTCAAATCCCTTGACGTGCGTGAGCTCAGCTCGTCAGTGAATCGAAACCGAACCTGGTACTTACTAGTACAATTTTATCGCCTCCGGCTATTATAGCCTTGGCAAACAATCTCCAGCGGCTTCACAATGTCCACTTCAACCACACAGGGCTAATTGCGGAGAACGACCGCTTGCCGTTTCGGAACAGACATTGAGTAACTCACGCGGACGGACCTCGTAATGTAGTTCGAAATTCAATATATCTATGAAGCTGTGCATTGAAAAGACACCATTGATATAAGTAAATGCTTCGTGCTTATCGGGAAGGTTGAAAGACTAAACTTTGAAACAAAAACTTTCACTAGTTCACGACAACTTTGTCACAACACAACGACCCCAAAAGTTTGGTGGCCTTCATTACCTTGCCTATATATACCAACTCCAAACGCAGTGTCCTTGAGGGTCGGTCCGTGTCCCGTGAGCTACTACTTCTTTCAAAATGTTCTTCGACTGGGCATAGTGAATCTGTTGACATAACTGGACGGGTGTATTCGACCGACTCTTTTTTACTCCGTAGAAAAAAAAAGCGAACTTTTTTTCCCTCACGAAAAAAAAAATGGCAAGAATGCATAAAATACTGGGGTAGTTCGACTGGCGAAGGGGTAACTTTTTTAATAAGTACGTTCGAGCGAACGCCATCACGTCTTTTTTTTTTTTTTTTTCAAAGACACGGTTGCACTTAAACGTATAGCACTTTTGATGGAGGCGGAAGTGCTGTAGGCCCATGTGCTCAGATTTGGGTGCACGTTAAAGAACCCCATGTGGTCGAAATTTCCGGAGTCCTCCACTACGCCGTCTCTCATAATCATATGATGGATTTGGGACGTTAGACCCCACATATCATTCAATTACCTAAACGTATATTTCACGTTGGGCAATCACATTTGGGATGAACCTGAGTGAAATAAATAAAAAGAACAGTATTAAGACGAAAGCAATGCACAATAAAGTACATCTGATAGATCAAGCGCGAATCACAAATGAATCAAGTGACTTAACTGATGATCGGTGTACATTGAAGGGAATAATGAGTAAATAAAGCGGATTCGGTGTGTATGATAGTTCAATCAGGTGCTTGAGGGCCTGCCTCTACGCGCGCTATCCGCACAGCCGCACCGCAAATGCAGGGAGACGTGCCGCACGCAAGCGGAAGGCAAAAGCTCGTCGCCGATTGGCTCTTTCGCTCTCCGCTTGCGTGCGGCAGGTTTGCCCGAACGTGCGGTGCGGCTGCTGCGCGGGTAGCATGAGTACAGGCCGTAAGAGCCGATAAACATATATCGAAGTGAATAAAGATTAAATCAAGCGAATTGGGTGTGCATTAAGAATGAATAAAGTTGCTGAAGTGTGAATCAAGGCCGAATCAAGGAACATAAGTGATAATCGGTTTATATTAAAGGGAATTGTCTGTGAATAAAAAAAGTGAATGAAGTATAAATCAAACAATAATGAAATCACCTAAGTGTTAATTGATGTACAATAATGTGAATCAACTTATTTAGCTGCGAATTAAGAACAAACCAAACTTTAAAATCACAAGTGAATCCAGTGAGACAGCTAGGGATGCGGAGTCATAAAGCGACTTGAATGCGCAATGATTATTAAACTTAATGAAGAATGAATGAACCTTCATTACCGTCAATCGAGTGTGAATCAAGAGTAAATGAAGTGAGAGGGTTGGGAATGTCATGTAAATCTAATTGTAATCATCGAGTGACTTACATGTGAAGCAACGGCAATTAAAGGGAATCAAGAATGAATGAACCTGCAATAATGCTGAATCAACGGTGAGTCAAGTGAGAGGGCTGTGCATTCAGAGTGATCAGGTGATTTAAGTTCGAATAAAGAGTAAGTAAACGTACAACAATGCGAATCACGTCAACCTGGAGTGATTCAGGTGAATCAGGAGTACCCCTCAGAGCACAGACATTGCGACTTGTTCAGATACCTGGAAACGCAGAAACATTTTCGCCAGCATTTATTGAAGCGAAGAGTCAAGATATGAAGCTACACAATATCAAAGCCACCACAGCTGAAACCGTCGTTATTCAGGGAACGAGTTGAAGTGAAGGCCTCAAAACTTTGCGTCAGGTGCAACTGATCATCCCTCAATCATTCAATCAACCTCCCTAATACAACATTCACTTCGTCATATCGGGCGAAAAACTGAGGGCACAGGCACATGAACATGACAGGAGATGTAATCAACGGAAAATGAAGGTGTGTATGATTTGTTGTAGTTTAATTGTTGGTTAGTGCCACAGTCCAACTTGCTTGTTGTTGAAGTTTATGCGAGGCCAATGTCCACCTCTTGCTCAATGCCTTGAGAGGTGCTAGCTAACACTCCTAGAGCCATGATTGTTCTTGGAACAAAAGAGCGTAGGTAACATCCAACTTTTTTGGCAAACACTAAGTCTCAATTCATGTGGTTGTCTTCGGACATGATAGCAGCAACCAGCCGATAATATTCAGATTTGATACGAATGCACGAGTTCGCAAGAGTATGAGCAGTTTATTGAAAGAGTCATTGCATATTAAACAAAACATGGCCTTCTACAGGGCAATCTGTTGAAGCATAAAAGAAATTGAAATAAAATCAGACACGTCTTCCGGTGCCTTGACCCTCTGAGGAAGACGATTTCAAAAAGCAACAAAATCCTTATTGTTTAGATGCATGTGCACACACGAGAGCTGTTGGACTTTGCTGCAAAAAAGAAGCTTGCTTATTGAAACCTCTCGAACTGAAGCTGCTGGTTCATCTTCCAGTGATCCCGAAGGATGCAAGAAACAATAAATACGCATGTTCTGTGCTTTAGAATGATTTAAAAATGACATATCAACGAGGCCACCTTTCACCGCGAGTTTAGTTCGTTTCTCTTTCTACCATGGCACTTGTGAGATTATGTTTTTTTTTATTGCGAGCTAGTGTGAATGTAATTTAGTGTTTCCATTGGTATTCCTCATAGCATCACCGCATTTTCTGCCAATTTTTATGCTCCTCGAATACATCTCCCAATGATCTCAAATGTGCACTATTCTGTGCGAGCTTGTTTCATTTTATGCCTGCGAACTTTACAATCTTGTCACATGACCGTCTGCCGTCCACAGCAACGTCTTCCATTAGTTGGTTTCCATGTAATAGTTATAACAGACCAAGGGTTATCTATCATTTGCGATACGTGGTCTGTCCCGGTCTGTATCTTTTAGGGGCGAAGCTCCTTAAGGCGTGGGTCTGTCCATCCCTTGTATGTATGTAGTAGCACGTAGCCATCGGTGGCACATACCCACTCTAGAATGGGAATGTGCCAAAGGGGATGCGAGATGGAAGACGGCGGTACTTGGAGTGTCCACTAGATGGACGCATGGACGGACGGACAGACAAACCAGCAGACGGACGGACGAATGGATAGACTCGCGGAAATGCGGACGGATGGACACACGAAGAGACAGACAGACCGATGGATGGACAGACGGACTCACAGACGGACGAATGGACCGACGGACGGACGCATGGACGGACGCACGGATGGTCGCGCGGACGGACGGAAGCAAGAACGAACAGACGGACGGAAGCACGGACGGGCTGACGGACGCTTAGCCCCACTCATCATTATTCACTCCATGGATATGCTGTGATTTTTTCCCTAATGTAAACTGCATTGTCATCTACCCCTGCCTGGCCCTTACTGCACTCTGCTCTCTTCATTTCTTTCAGCCATTATAGCCAAAAGTTTTCGCTCTGTTGCTGGTCGTATAATTGGTAGTTAGTAGCGTTGAGAAATTAGTAAAGAAGTGCTGGGTGCTGCGGACAACGTTTCGATAAGTGTACTAGTCTTTTTCAAGTCAGGCAACTGTTGCATCCTTGAAAAGAAAAGTTCACTTGTCGAAACGTCGTCTTTAGCACTCTTTACAAATTTCTCACAGTAAGCCTCCACCTTCTCTTGTTCCTGTATTTTTAGACCTGCAGCAGCGTGCATTTTTAAGTATCTTGCAACTTTCCACGGGAAATCTTTTCAAAGCGCGTCCAACTTTCGTACCAACTTGACCGTTAACACCACGACCTCTTCGTTGCGTTCAAAGAAGTAGCCACGCCCGAACATCTGTTCGAGCGGACGTGACCGGAACCTTTCGAATCCTTCATCGACCAGAGAAGCTCGACTCTGTCTCGACACCAGCCAAGTGGGTGTCAGCACCTTAGCACGTCCTCGCGGGAACAACCAGCGTGGCCTCGTGAGCGTGACCGACCGCAAGGCCCACGGATTGAACACGTCGACGCATTGATCGGCCGCTGCGTAGACGCTCAGAGCAGTACCGTCTTCCAACAGTACCAGCTTCAAGTTGCACGTGTGGTCTGGAGTCTCACATCGGGTCGTCCACACCTCTGGGTCCAGTGGGGAGGACAGGGCAGCTTCGGTGGAGTGCTCAGCGTAGCTCTTCCTGAAGGCGACTCTCAAAGTGCACGTCTCTCGGCGACGCCTGAAAAAACGCGAGTATGGTCTTACAGCAGAAGAGCCTGCGAGTCCGGACGCGATTATTCTGCCCGAGTGAGCTCCTCGGTTGTGGACCCCAGCGCTGACGCCCAACAGGTCTTCTCCAGTGGAACCTTTCGGGAAATAGTCTTTCTAGAGTCTCCTTGGCATGGCTCATATCTGCTTGAAGGACCGCAGTGCGCGTGCCCAGCGCTCGCATGTGCTCCAGTAGCTCGTTCATCTTGGATTCGAACGCTGCGTGGAGAAGGGGAAACACGGTTCGACACTCATAAGAAAATCGACAGAATCTGATGCTTACGTGCGTTTCCTTCCGTAAAACATTCTTATGAAAGAGACCTACAGCCAGCGCCCCACAGAGGCACTAACCCGCCCTCAAGTACCCCTCATTTAGAAAATGAATAATCTTCTACAGCAATGTCTCTAGGATGTTTCACACAATACATTTTGACTTGCTCATTGATAAATGTTTTTTAAACGAAAAAAAAAACGGAAATGGACACTTTGATATGCTGTTTGAAGTGATGACCAAGGTTATTACCTACGATGAACACTAGCGAGAAAACATGATGTTGAAAGCTTTGTGTGTGCGACGAGCATGTAATTGATAGGTGCTGCAAGCGAATTTCGTTGCGATAGCAATTATATGAACCCTCGGCTAGATTTCGCCGCCGACGTTGACGTCGCCGTCACTCACCATATATGTATACATATCTATATATATGAAAACGCAAGAAAGAAAAATAACTCACAAAAAGACTCCGCGCGCGGAATCGAACTTCGGACCTCTGAGACGTAATTGCGAGGCGTTAACTACTGAGCCACCGAGGAGCACGACCTTGAACGTTCAAATGGCAAGCTATTTATATCTACCACTTACCGCTGGTGGCAGGAATCTCGGGGGGGGGGGGGGGGGGACTATAGTATTTTCAGCATTACCAGCAAGATGACGCCATGAACGAACGTCGTCACGACGCGGCAGCGCGCGCTCTGATTTCCCACGCGTAGTTTGCCCAGCGGAGAGGAGTTGGGTGGACGCTCAGCCCTTACCTCGCGGCAGGAAGGATCGTACGTCTTCGCTGGCTTTGGAGTTGCCCCTGAACGATTCTGTTGTAGTTACCGGGCGCACAAAGATCGCTGCAACCGTTCCACAGTTTTCGTTTGCGAAAAGGGTGCCCTTTTCAGACATAGCGAAGTAACAACTGAGACGCTTATTCGCGTGCATCTTTACCTGTGAGTACGTATTCGTGCGTCATTTGTGCGTGATAAACGCGGGGTACGTTTCGATCTGCTTGCCAACCTGCACGTGACCTTCAAATTGGTCGCTATCGCATTCATTGCTTCACCTTTGTGGCCAAGCTGTGACTTTTTTACAGTGAATGTAGGCTTGTATTGTTTTAAAGTACACAATCCCTAAGACATATTTCACCAATGATCAGTGGGCCCACTCTGATGAAGACATATTTCATCATTGAACAGTCAGTGAGCCCTCTATGATGCTATAATCATTTCCGAGAGAAAAATTCTACCAAGCCCTGACACTCAAATTAGGAGTGGTTCATGGCCAACGGCAAATATCAGTTTGAAAAAATTCACTGATTGTGTCCAGACAACAGTATACCTGCGATCGTGTCTTGCGTTAGAGAAAGCGACGCAGCGTCTTGTCCGTTGCTGGAGACAGTGGCGCTGGGAAGTTGGTGGCTTCCCAAGGAGTTGATGGCGGGAGGTGCCACGCATCCACGGCGATAATGGTCGGCCAGTTTCGAGCGCACTTGCATGCTCTGACATCGGGGGCAAATGACCGCGTGATAGGTGCAGTCCTGTTCGAAGTGATCCAGCAGACCACGCAGTGGACCCGTGAAATCACATCCGTATCTTGCATTCCAGCATCGAACCTGCATGTTATTGTTTAAAAAAATATGACGTTTGCCCCGGAGTAATTCGTTCTTTCAGTGAACGCAACACGATACAGGATCCCAACTGGGCGCTACATAAAAACGCACATTTCTTTATGTTCTGCATAACCAAACATGCCACATCTCGTGTTAATGAGGCGTCGTTAACAGCTCTTCAAATCGCTATTTTATTTAACAGACCAGTTAGCAAGCTACAGCGACACATTCACAAATAAAGGAAATCAATAGCCATGTTGCCGGTGATTTCGGCTTCTCGCATTCATACCGAATACGTAGTAGTACATCGTGAGTATACGTAGGCCAAGGCTTCCTTGTTACGGCATATCCTTTGTAGTATGTCCATAAAATGGCTATGAATAAGCTAAAGTGGTTGCTTGGACGTGTTGGTATGACATCGTGAAAAAGAAACAGCGCGAAAAACGAGAGACCAGACGAAGAAGGACACAGAGTGATTTATCTATGAATAAACAGTTGCTATGAATAAACAGTTGAACTTCATCGTCCGATTTTTCCGCTTCCTATTCATTTCCTCAGTCTATGGCTCTGTTTTTGTGCTAATATGTGGGTCATTCCTGCCAACTGTCCCAAACAAGGCGCTCGCCAAAAATATATTTCTCTCGAATAGTTTTAGAAAGTTACACACATGTAGACATTAGTTCTAAAGAAGTTTCCGAAAATAGTTTTAGCGGGAAAAATTGTTTGCGCCGGTGAGCACCATTTAACATTCACGAATTGGTGTAAACCAGGTACGAAAATAATTTCTTATAAATTTACTATTTCGCGCAATATTTCAATACTTGCTTTTCTAGCATTTGTAGAGCAACGTGCTCGTATTGTAAGACAGTTGCTCATCATAGCTTCAATATGTTCACTCTTTATAGCGTACACAAAACTCAGCAAATTGTAGTGTTTTCGAATAATTTTTTCGACACAACACGACCATCAATAAAATGCACAAGTTACCCTTATCAAACTCTCCGTAAAATTTACTATGTACAAATATTTTTGACGGGTGTGGCACATAGCCTCTCAAATCAAGTACTAAACTTTACAAAAACGACACCTTGGTCTGAGTTGAGACGTCTGTATAGCACCGTAAGGTGGACGAAGAAAAATCGGGATAAAAGTGGATGCAGTTGAGAATCATAGCAAATTTGTTAGCAGAAACTTTATTCATAGTCATTTTTGTTGTAGTAAAGAATAACATTTTTGAACTTTAGTCCCGCCATAGCAGTGCTTTGTTACGGGGGCAATACAAACCAACTTAATTAGATGCAGTTGGTTTGTATTGCAACACTTGCAACACATACGCTTCAAAGTTCTTCTTGTCGGTACTCTATTTTGTATACCACATGTCGAGGTAATAATAAACAGAGATAAAGATATACAATGCGAACGAACTGTATGTCAGTATGCTTTCATACTGGAAGAAATCTACAGTGGATTCACGGCCACCAAAATTTCCATAAAGAAAGCAACAGAATCACAATAAAAAGGGTGTAAGGTAGGAAGACACAATTTCTTTACTGCTATTCACCACGTGTTCACGGGAGGTTTTCAGGGCCCTAGATTGGGAAGAGTGAAGGATAAGAGTTGATGGAGAGTATCTGAGTAACCTGTGATTCACTGATGACATTGCCTTGATGAGTAACTAAGGGGACGAATTACAGCTGATGATTACTGAACTGGACAGGGAAAGCAATAGAGTAGGTCTGAAAATTAATCTGCAGAAATCAAAAGTAATGTGCAACAGTCTCCGCGGGAGACAGTGATTTGCCATAGGTGGAGAGATACTGGAAGCTGTAAAGGAATATGCATATACTTTGGAGGGGTTACAATCACGGAGCCGTACCATAAGAGTGCAATAACTAGAGAAATAAGCATGGGGTGGATCGCATTTGGCAAGTATTCTCAAATGATGAATGATAATCTACCACTAACCCTCAAGAGGAAAGTATGTAACAGCTGCATCTTGCAGGTATTTACCTACGGAGCAGAAACCTGGAGTCTTGCAAAGAAGGTTCAGCTTAAATTGAGGACGACGCAGCAAGCGATGGAAAGGAAAATGATAAGTGTAACCTAAAGAGACAAGAAGAGGGCAGAGTGGGTCAGTGAGCAAACCGGGGTCAAGGATATCATAGTTGAAATCAAGAAGAAATCGACATGGGCTGTGCACGTAGCACGTAGCCCACAACATCAACCGCTCTCTCGGAATCCTTCCCCAGTGTACACACACGGACTGCGCTCCACGGCAAAACGAGAGAGAGAGAGAGAGAGACAGAGAGAGGGGTCATTAGCCAACCCTCGAGTGCTTTGAACACGCTGCTGCCTACGTTGCCTACGCAGTCACCCCTGAAGAAGGAACCAAGTCGGTTCCGAAACGTCGGGTCTCTTAAAGACTTTTGGTTGAAGCCTATATCATCTCCCAATGTGTCAGTATAGTTTCAGTGAAAACGAAACACGTGCTTATCCTTCCATTTTTCTAACTGACCACAGAAGGGGCCGAATCAGGCACTCTTCCTGCCGGAGTCCCTCGTCTTGCTACAGGTAATTGCCTGCCATCTAAGCTCACCCACAATGTCCCTCCGGTACCTCCAAAAACGCGTCGCGGGAGCCGCCCTACCCACCTCTTCCTTTCTCTTCCTACCCCCTCTTTCTTTTCTTCTTTTTTTTTCTTTGGTTACTTTTGGTTTGCTAAAGCGAATGAGACGAAGAAGAAACTGTTCCGGCACAGCATATGTCACCACTGTAAAACACCACGAATTTGCCGCTCTCTTCCCGTTTCCTTCTTGCACCACCATGTCGATACGCCAAGTTCGCATAGCGTCGCACTTGTTCGCAAACCCTGACGAGAACCGGTGCATGGTATGGCCGATGGCATTGCGCCGTGCTCCCGACCAGGTTGCAGAAATTAGGTGCCTTTTCTCATCTTCTAACCACTACCACCACCCTGACGAAGACCGGTCCACCGGTCGAAACCGTTGGTAATAAAATTAAGACAACCGCTAAGTTGTGTTTCCTCTCTTCCCAAGTACGTTTGGCCCATTGGAAAACTTCTTAATTGGCATTGTATATCTTTACATCTGTGCATTATCACCTCGACATGTGGTATACAAAATGGAGTACTAACAAGGAGAACTTTGAAGCATGTGTTGTAAGTGTACTATTTTTATGACATAGGAAAGCAATGCGATGACGGGACTAAAGTTCACCAATGTTTTTCGTAATAAACGAAAATCGACTTGTATTAAGCTTTCTGTGGACAAAGTTGCTATCATTCTTACTCGCATCCACTTTTATCCTGATTTTTCTCGGACCAAATCGGGTTGCTACAGACGTCTTAAGACCAAAGTGGCGTTTTTTCTAAGTTCCGGATTTTATTTTAGAGCCTATGCGCCACACACCGGCCAAACCAAAGTATCTTTAAATAGTAAATTTTTACGGAGAGTTTGATAAAGGTAATTCGTTTATTATATTGATGGTCACGTTTTGTCCAAATATTCTCGAAAACAGTACAAGTTACTCAGGTTGCCGTACACTCTAAAGAGTGAGAATATGAAGCTATGATGAGGCATTGTCTTATAATACGAGCACGTTGCTCTAAAAACAAAGAAATGGAAGTACTCAAGTATTGCACGAAACGGTCAACTTATAGAAATTTTTTTTCGTGCTTTGTTTTCCGCCATTTCGTGAAGTTTAAAAAGTGGTAAAAGGCGCAAAAGTTTTTGCCGCTAAAAGTATGTCGCGGTAAGTACTTAACAACCAGCGTGTTCAATATGTGTGTAATTTCCCGAAACTGTTTAAGAGAAATAGGTTTCTGGCGGGCGCCTTCGTTGAGACAGTTGGCGTCGAACGACCCACGTATCGCTTTGACGTCAGCGTGCTCAACGAGCGACAAGCATCACTAAACTACGTAAGCTTGCCCACAATTTGCGTGCATACATGAAAAAGGGATTCAACCCACCCCCCTCCCTCCCCATATCAAATGTAGTTTTTTTCTTTATATACATCGTTGTTGCCAGCGTTGCTGCACGTATGGTACGTATGTCAGTTTACCTTTGCCTTTACGAGGTCCAGCGGCTGGTTCTCGTACCATCGTATGGCCCCCACATCGAACACGTCCGTCGTACGTTGGTCGAAAATACACCGCTTCTCCACACCGAAGACGCCGTCGGTGCACTGCTCCAAGCAGAACTCGCAGAAGACGTGCGAGCAGCGGAGCGAAGCCAGCCGGCGGGCCACCAGTCCGCACAGGCTGCAAACCAGCGTCGTTCCGAGGGCGTCCCGAAACTGCACCGGTCGACAGTCGACGCCCCGAAGGAAGCCCCGGAGCCAGACCCGGTTGAGGCTCCCGTCGTTTTCGCACGTCATGACGGCGTCGAACACGACGAAATGGTGGTGACGCGACGCGCCGCAGGAAGGGTTGGCGTTAAGGGTAGATGCTCCCCGGTTATGGTCTTCTGCAGTCGGGAGGGCAGACTGGCGCGAAATGCAGCGGCGCTTTGCTGGGAGCTCACCTTTCGATCACGTACGCCAGCCTCTGGGAGCATCGAGTGACGCTCTGGCAGAAGGCGATTCACGTCTCAACTGTACGCTCGAGCAAGCAAACATGAAAGCACGCAGGCAGACGGGAAAGATAGAAACAAAGAAGGAAAGAAAGAAGAAATAAAGAAAGGAAAAGAAAAAGGAAAAACAAAGAAAGACCTTTCATTGTATGCGAGGATATGCAGAGTACGGTAGCAGCTCAGGGGTTCCTATGACGGTCACTGCGATGCGAAGTGCATCGCGTAGCGTGTATTTGTTATGTGTGCGAGCTTCGAATAGCAGCCGCGACTGACAGAGCGCGTGGGAAACACTGCTGCGGCGGTGTGTTGTCTAGACGACAGACGCGTATGTCGCGAGCGACGTATACAGTTCAATGCTTCTAATAGCGTAGATGATCATGTTTTCCTTGGAATAAATATTTTCGAGCG